GCTGAGGCTGTTCCTTACTGGCAGAGGAAGCTTCTGCTGAAGCTCCATATCTCACCTGAACCAGGGCAGAGCTAAGCATCTCATTGCTGTCTGTAGGGCAGCTGGAAGAACCTGAAGCCTCTCAAGACAGGGAAATTTAATCTGCCCTTATGAGTCTGGGCATTTCCCCTAGCTTTGGTAGAAGCAGATTTTGTTGTGTTGCATTTTAAATAGCTTTCATAGCTTTGATAACTAACTTTCAATTTATAGCTAAACTTAAGCTAAAGCTAAAAGCTAAAGCTGCCCTAGGCCATCACTGGATCTTGGACTGGACGGAATAAAGACATGGAATTTTTGCCAAATGAATTCTTTGCTAGCTAGATGCATGTCTGATAAGGGAAATACAAATACCATGCACTCCAGAGACCAGACTTAGCAGCCTGTCTTCATGCATTTGTGCCTTCTTCTGTACAGTAATGCCACCAACCTGGAACTGTCAGCCTTTCAGGTGGGCATATTTGTCCCCTTTTGTTTGGTCCTTGTCACTCAGGGAAGGAATTCACATACAGGTTTGTTGGTTTGGTTTTGGGGGGTTTGTTTGTTTGTTTGTTTTAAAAGACAATCAGAAGAGATATTTCCTAACAAAGGGAGCAGTTCTCTTGTGTACAGTGAACAAGGACGTATTTAACAGGTGCAGGAGACATTTTTTTCCCTTCAGAAATGCACTGAATACACTGTGTAGACAGAAGCTCAGCAATTGCTATGTGTTCAAGGATGGCATAAAGCTCCTCCCATCTGGCATTGCTGTATACCTGCATAACTAATGGCTAGCTAACACTATCAGTTTGTCCTTCTGCTCACATCAGTGGAAGATTTTATATATCTGCAATATGAAAAGTAGCTCTGTGCCTCCAGCTGAAAACATGTGTAGTTCCTGAGGTCATTCAGGAACACAACATTACCTTTCTTAAAAAAAATAATGTATTTTCTTAACATTATTCTTCCCATTTTTGAAGAATGAAGAATCTTTTTCTAGCTGATTTTAAAATCTGCAACACCTGTAAAAAAAATGTCCCTGCAAATTCATTTAACATTTCCCTTGCTCTTTTCTGGAGAGCATTGACCTGTCACACTGCTGTTAACATGAATTCAACAGCTGCCCAATTTGTTCTTATTCTCCCAGGGACCCCAGTGCAGAAGCTAATGAAAATGCAGAAATTAGTATTCTGGTCTCTTATTCTGGCAACTTTAACTTTGTTTATTGATAGTCTTGGTCAAATGTGCTGAAATATATAACAGTCATAATTTGTTTGATCATTTATTGACAGGCCTGGAAAATCTACCTTCAGTCTTTAAAGCACAAATTCAATTTTTCGTTTGTTTTCAAAGACTTCCTCAAGAAATGGAATTTCCAAACCAGCAAATGTTTTGCCATGAATAGTAGGAAGGAAGTATTTTAGGTTTTAGACCATCTTCTAAAATTGATTTGACTTAAGGCTTGGTCTGAAATTCCTTTATAGGTAGTGAAAATGATATTTCAAAATGGAATTTATAAAACCTGATTTTTTAAACTAAGCTTTGAAACTTCATTTATGTATTGCTCATAGAAAGTTGCTGGGGCACAGACATGCTTTAATAAAAATGGAACTAGTTACATAATAACAGTTACTATA